ATGAGCTTGATCTCCATAAACAAAAGGAACAAAAAAGCTTTGAGAGTGAAAACACATAAACTCGATCATGATGAAACTGAGAAGCAAAGCTTTCCAAGGTTTCAATTCTTAGCTTCTGCTGCTCAGCTGTGCACAAACACAAGAACATATCGTCAGATGGCACTCCAAGTGAGAGTGGTGGGATCCTCCATACAATACATGATATACATTTAGGCAAATTCTGCGCGCATGGTACAGTAGCACTCACGAATCCTCCTCCACATAGTGCTCCAAGAAAATACACACCATATATAAAAACACCAACACACTTATATATCTATATATCAAAAAAGGGAAGGATTGTAAAAGGAGCTATAAAAACAGAGAGATTTATTTCATCCACTATTGTGTAAAGTTATTCACTTATCTCATAGTCTTATCACTTCAAATCTCGCCCAACACTATGTATAACAGTTAAGCAAGATTCATTCATCGCATAGTATGCGCAGCACAGAAAATACTACGTATGAAAAGTCTATTCGCACTAGTGCACGCTGAGAGATTAGTTATTGTTAATACAAACCAAATATTGGAACCAATTAATACATGTGTGGAAATATGTATTGTGCGCGTGAAAGTATGGCATGACTCATGAGTCATGACATGGCGGCTAGATAATTAAGCCCTCCCTCTTGTTCATTATCAATGATCAGTTTCATCCCAACAATTGCAAATGGTGCGACCATGGAGGGGCTCGTAGGGCCAACGTGCCTTCAAACTGAAATACATGGAGATCCGAGGGAGGGGTGGGACCAAGTGTGCCAAGGAGTTGGGACACATGCTAGATGATGTGTAGCTTTGTAGGGTCGTTCATGGTGGTTGTCGGGGGGTGCATGAGGCCGCTGAGTGGGACCAATTATATAGGGTTGGAGATGTTGTAAATTCATGATTTCTTTGATTTGGGATGAGGACGAAGGGAAAAGTAACTCTTGTATAAACTAGTGTATTTGCTATAATTGTATTTGTATCTTCTCCTTATGGTTTCTGCCCTCATATGACACGATAATTTATGTACAAAAAACACTAATTTTCTCAAAACCCTAATATGGTATTTTATTTTCTTATATGTCCAAACCTAAAAAGCTAAGTTAAGTTCATAGACAATATAATTGTATAAGTTACCTAATTTTTCATGTGCTTTTGAGACACGTTATTGTGAGAGGAGCGTTGTATACATTCAGTACATATAACTGATGAGAGAGTGAGAGATTAAGTTATATATAAGTAAAAAAAAACAAAAAAAAAACAAAAAACAAAATTGGGCTCGGGGGACCAATTAAGTATTATGGGTAAAGTCTTTCAAAATGCCCTTCTTTGTCCCTTCAAATTACCAAGTTTTTCAAAAAGGATATGAATTAGTCCTCCCAAGTTGAAGTTAAAGAGGAAGATTTTGGATTCAAACTTTTCCTCATGTAAAAGGTGGGGACTTTGCTGACGCTTGAGAGTTTGGTTTGGTTGAGACTTTTTAAGTAAGATTTGATTCTAACAAAGTGGTTGACTATTTGTGAATGGTGATGTGTTTGTGTTGAGAGAGAGAGAGAGAAGAAGAAGAAGAAGAAGAAGAAGAAGATTGCGTGCAGAAGAAAGAGAGTGTTGTGGTGTGGGCTTTTAGATAGTGTTGAGTTTGGTGATGCGCGTGCAGCACAAAGAGGTGGGATTGTGGGCATAATGGGGGCTGCCAGCCACATATCCATAAGATTTATTCATGACGCCATACATTCTGCATCATTCCTCTTCTTAAAACAGAAAAATTTTGATTCCTAAACTCACATATTTTCATCATTGCTTTCTCAACCCTTTCTAATTCTCTCAATTAAAAATTTAACTCTCTATACTATACACCTTAGCTACTAGTACCCTACATGCATCATACAAATACAAATTGGTTGCTTCCGTTTCTATTGATGTTTATCTTCCAACCTAACAGCATATAGTATACAAAATCAAACGATGTTATGAGCTCAAATCTAACAGAGGTTAGTTGTGTTGTTTATAATAATTGATCACGTAAAACTTCGTTTGAATGTGTGATTTAGATTGAAAATTTGACACCATAACTTGTTTTTAGTTGTGCATCTATAACCTAACATGCCAAAAACTTTTGCCAAGAGAAAGCTTCTTCCTAGCTAGCTGATCATTCTGAATTATAGATGTAATCTTTCAGCAATAGTCTTGAATTAAAAGCCAAGGAGAACCAGAAATGTAATGACTAATGAGGCGAGTAGTAGCTTAGGTTGGCTATGAAACTTCATTAGAAAGCCCACCAAACACTAATTACTCCCTTTTACTTCAAAGTTACTGTACCTAAATACTTTATGTCTGACCAAAATTAACACGAAAATCATTGTATGAGAGATACAACACAACTATGTGTCGGTAGTTTTGGCAAATGAATGAAAAGAGAAATGATAAAGGAACTCTCTATAGATTATTTGTCAACGCATAGTTCAACGTCAATTCTCATACCAACATTATAAAACATTGTGCCAAAAACATGAGGGGACAGAGAGTCTCACTTTTGAAAGAATTTCTTTAGCATTTCTCGAATGAAAATATGAGCGAACAAAATTATATGAAATGTTAGGCAGCATGCAGTTTGAAATTGCTAAAGGTTTAATTAAGTTACTTTTGAAAGAGTCACCTTACCATCGAATAAAATATGAACCAACAAAATTATATGAAATGTTAGGCAACATGCAGTTTGAAATTGCTAGAGGTTTAAGTTACTTGAATAAAGAAAAGGTTTGGCTAATCAAAGTTGACATAATTAATTCTATGTATGGCAATCTTTTCCCTAATTTTCCTTTTGGGCGAATGCTTAAATATCATAGTTGACTCTCCCAAAAATATATCAATATTGATAATACGTTTACGTTATACTGCTAGACATACGCGTAAAGATCTCGTATTTCGATTTTAGCTCATATCTTGGTTCTCTTTTAACTGTGATTATCACGGTCTTGTAATAGCTCAAAAACAAGTTGGTCTTCCATTTTTTGAAGGGGAAACAAAGATGACAATGTCATTTGCATGGAGAATAAAAATGATGGGAGAATGGCCTTGATTTCACGTATGGATCTCCCCCTAATTCAAAGATATTCTCATTATTTTTATCAGCCACGCCTGATTCCTTTTATTTTTGTTTTTTGCAAACGAAATTATTATTGTTTTAACTTATAAGCTAAAATATTCATGATATTCTGGGCACGTCTTTACCTTTTTTGTTATCAGCACCTGCTCGATCAATGCTCAAGAACATATGGCAGCGTTGTCCCTATCAACCAGTTGTTTTCATATTTTTAGTGTAGTTTTCACCCTTCCATTATCCCACTGCCCATTTTCAAAGTTTTAAGTGGTCATATTGCAGTTCTTTTTACACTAAATTTATCAAAATTACGAGAAGGAAAATTCGAACTTGGGTTCAAAAGATGAAACACATTGCTCTACCCCAACTTGACTAAATCCAAATCTTCAATTTTTTAAATCTCTTTTCTTAACAACTTTTTCTAATCTTCTATAGTACGGAAAAATTATTATGCCTATAAAAAAACATATTGAATTTATCAACAATGCTAATAATTCTTGTCATGGATAGGAACAAACAAGAACATATCTACTTCTAGTCTATAATTATGTCCCAGAATTTTCAAGCTAGGACTTAGATATAATTCCTTGTAATTGTGATGCTGAATTTTGACCCATTTTATTTTCAATTATTGACATTCAAAAGTAACCGAAGTTTCCCAAAATTTGACAGAAAAACACATGCAGATAATTATCTTCATCAGCTAGAACTTGTGATGATAAGGTTCTTGTACAAACAACAGTTCCCTGTAGGCTAAGTACAACCTACTTGTGACTGAGCAGATCAAGCATATATATGGATCTATCTGTCCAATTCTTACAATCGTAGAATTACTATGCCTATTTATGATGTTTGTTTCTTGGTCCAACATCAATTAGTCTTAAGGGACCTCCCCTGTTTTATTGCTTATTTTTTAGACAGCAAGTGAACCATGAAATGAAATTATATGTGCAATTTAGCACAACTCATACCATGCAAATTAAACTCGTTTAAGTAAAGCAAACAACGATAGTAATAATATCTGTTAACCAGTGTCACACCTTGTAACACAATTTGGAATCCACAAGAGATGAGAAAACTCTTCTACCAAACCAGTAGTTGACATAGAAAATGACATCGAAACCCTTAAAATGCCCTATATCATAGCAAAACAATAAATTTTGACCATTTTGATGTTCTTTCGAAATACGTAGTATGAATTCAAATCAGGCATCACGACCATAACTTCATAAAACTCAAAATTTGTTTTCTTTAATATGTTTATTGAGTTGTTGCATGATTGAATTCATTAACTGATGTGATCGTTAAGAAATTGTAAGTCTACATAATAATTTAATTTTTAACATGATAATTGGATGGAATATGTTTGTCATCTTAATCAAAATGGACTGAAATGAATTAAGTGGAAACAAATCATTAATCGGCAATATGCATTGTTGGATTTGCTTAGCACTACTCATGGGAGAGAACAGTGACTGTCTGCCGACTGGAAGTAAGTGGAGAGAAGTGCAGGATTCAGATACAAATCATACAAACAATAGACCAGAAAACAAAACAACAAAAAAAATAAAGATTAATATTATACGCGTGGGCATAAATTCCGTTTGCTTGTACACATCAGTCTCTCTCTGTGCTGAAAGAAAAGATTTTGCTCACGAAAAATAAAAAGGATTTGTAAGCAAATTTCAATATACATATCATCATCCTTGTTCACTTCATAATGCCTGCAATCATGATTCTTGGTTGCCTCATCCGCATGCCCCTCCTCTCAACCCTCCCTCTCTCTCTCTCTCTCTCCTCCCTCTCTCTCTCTCTCTCTTCTCCCCTTCTCCCACCTACCTATAAATTCCATACACCCCACCCTCTCTCTCTCATCTCTACATTCCCCACTCACAATCTCTCTCTCTCTCTCTCTCTCTCTCATCTCATTTCGTCCTCTGCATCTCTTCTTATCGCTATTTGTTCATTTGGGCACTTGTTTGGTTTGCGCCCTTGTTTTTTAGGGCACTTTGTTCGTTTTCCTAGGGTTTACCCTGCAGTTTGTGTGAGACCTAAACAACCCGAATGGCGGTTTCTGGTTTTGAAGGGTTCGAGAAGCGTTTGGAGCTACACTTCTCAGGGGACGACCCTAAAAATGTAGGGTCGCTCGGTCTTGGTCTTCGCCTCCTTGACTTTGAGTCCTTGCAACAAGTCCTACATGCCGTCCAATGCACCGTTGTCTCGGCCGTAGCGAATCAGCACTTCGATGCTTACGTGTTATCCGAGTCCAGCCTCTTCGTCTACCCCACCAAGATCATCATCAAGACATGTGGGACCACCCAGCTCCTCAAATCCATCCCTCCACTCCTCCGCCTCGCTTCGCTAGATCGCGGCCTCACTCTCATCTCCTGCCGCTACACCCGCGGTAACTTTATCTTCCCCAGTGCCCAGCCTTTTCCCTACACCAACTTCCAAAACGAGGTCGTTTACTTAGAGGAGTCACTTCCCGCCACTCTCTGCTACCGAAAGGCCAACGTCATGCCCTCCAAAACCCCCTCGCACGCGTGGCACGTGTTCACAGCATCCACGCAAAACACTACATGTCGTGTAGGGGAAGACGACAACGACGGCGGATTGTTCACCCTCGAAATCTGCATGACCGAGCTCGACCGCGACCTCGCGCGCAACTTCTTTCTCCGTCCCAGCGCCAAATACGACGGCGACTCTGCTGGCAAAGAGATGACGGCGGTCACTGGAATTTCCGAAATTAACCCTCGGGCTCTGATCTGCGACTTCGCCTTCGACCCCTGCGGCTACTCCATGAACGGCATCGACGGCGACCGCCACTCCACCATCCACGTCACCCCCGAGGACGGGTACAGCTACGCGAGCTTCGAGTGCGTGGGGTCGGTCTACGACGACCGCGACGACGTTGTTCGGGTGCTGAAGAAAGTCGTCCAAATCTTCCGGCCGGCGACGATGTCGGTGTCGACCACGTGCGCGAGCCACGAGGTGTGGACACGTGTCGCGGGGGCAGTGGAGCCGCTGGGGCTGAAGTGCCGGAGTTGCGCCGTGGACGAGTTTCCCGCCGCCGGCAACGTCGTGTACCAAACGTTCATGGCTCGTCGGAATACTGAAAATAATAATAAGTAGGATTAAATCGTAATTAAGTGGGGTTTTTTTTTCTTAATTTTAATTAGAATTTTAGGGGAAAAAGCGATCGGACGGTGGAGGTGCGAGGTGAAAGAAGGTGATGATCGAATGTGAGGGGTTGACTGTTGGGATAAATAGTAGAGATGACGTGGAAGCTAGCACGATGATAATGCACCCCACTTAGGCTTGTCACGCCTAAGATTTTGAGGTTGTTTTTTGTCTGGTAGTGGGGGATATCAATATTAAGTGCTATTTGTTGAGAGGGAAGTTTACTTGAAGTTTCTTTCTTCTACATTCTCAACCTCTATTCTTTTCATTTTCTTTTTCCCCCAATCCTTTTGGATTTTCTGTTTAATTCTCTCTATTTTCTTGACCCTCTCCCTTTGTCCCTAATGCATGCTCTAATTTGTTTCTGATAATCAATTACCAAACAAAAATAAATCACACGAAATTGCCCAAAATGAGAACTCATAAAACGAGCAAAGAATGTTCGCATGATTGTCTCAAGATTAGTTGCCCCATTTCATAAGTCTGCAGTTGGACGTCTATCCATAACATGACAATATGTTATATGTATACGTTCAAAAATGTGTTCAATCTCTCTTTTTTTGAAATCAAACTCATAATTTTAAATATTTCTTGTTCATTTTATGAGAATACAACTAAGTATTCTGAGATGTTAATATGTTCGTCATTGTAGTTGTATGTTATAAATTTATAACTCAATATCTTTGGGACCCTAACAACAAAATCATCATCGTATTCTATTGAAAATCTCCTTTGTTTTAAAGTGGCAACCCTAGTTTGCATGCATGGGGGGTTTAATAAACTTTTCCATAAACAAAATAATTCTCCCTCCATGATAATATGCAACGGGCAATGAAGTCACGACCCCTCACCATGATGTCATCCAATAGTTCCATGTCGCATATAATTTTATTTAATTTTTTAAGGAACTTTAACGAAAAATTCTCGATATTGTTTACTTTAACGAAAAATCATATTTTTACACTAAAAAGTCAATCCTAGTATTATTCACTTCATCCTTTATTTTGTCTTTATCGTTAAAACTCAAAATTTTCAAAATATTTTCATTAATTTTTCTAATTTTTTATTCTTTTTACTTTCACGTTAATAAAAAAAAAATCATATAATTTGCACGTGATAATTATTATTAAGTTGAAGTGGTCGGACACACCTAATAGCTACAGGTAAAAAGAGAGTGGAAGCTGGTTCAATGAACCACCTGTCTAAAGTTGGTTTGTCCTCAAAAGGGTTCATATGATATGAAATTATTACATTGGGGGCTAAAACTTTATTTTGTCTAAAAGTGGGTTCTTTTCATAAACACTATTTTTGGAGAAATTTTTCATTGTGAATGAAACACGGAGGGTATATTACGTGTTTTTATATAAGTGGTGAGAAATTTCATTTTCTAAGTTATTAAATTTCTAACACACGTATTCCATTATTTGTATAGTGACACGTGATGTATCATCTCATGTACCGATCATATTGAAAAATTTCTCTTATTTTTGGTAAGTGGACTGATTCGTAAAATGGGTAAAACTGTTAACAGGCTAAGGCCCATTTCATGACAAAAACAAGTTCTAAGCCCAAGGACCCAAAATTCTTACCCAAATAACTAAGTGAAATGGACCACCTACACGTGTTGGTCTTTATAAAATTTTTAAAATTTTTTGTATTTTAACAAAAGATATGATTTACACTAAAAAAAAATAGGCAAACTTAGCTTAAAAATAGGCTAGTAATTATGTGGTCGAATATAAGACCTCTCACTTATAAGGAAAGAGGAATATCACTAAACTGTAATACAAAGTAGCATAATCCTTTTTTTTTTTTTAATCATCTTTATAATTCGAGAGATGTGAGAGAGTCGGATGACAAGTATGGTGCGTGGTGGCTATCTGTATCACACATTTCGTACAATGAAATCCAATCTGTAAAGCAGTATGTTTCTCTACATAAATAAAAAAAATCCTAATTAAACATGATCATGTTTGAGCCTTTGAGGAGTGTGAGACAGTTGAACGTCTAGTTGTATGGTATGTTACAGGATATCATACTTCTCGTAATTGAAATCCCATCTATATATGAAGACAATATGTATCTTTACATTACTTTTGGAAAGTTTTCCATCTACCGCAAGCGTTTGGTCAACCAAAAGGTTGAAGTAAAGAAGTTTTATTTCCTTATACGTTTATGATGTCGGTAGCACCTTAGTAATGTGATAAGTAATTCTCTCTTGCCAAACTTATATATGATCAAACAAATTCTTCTATTGCAAGACTGAAAGTAACACATCAGAACATGATAATTAATCATGGTTTAGCGAGAGAACACAAACATGATTGAGCTGTTTCCCCTTTTAAAGTGCATGCCTTAATCAAGTAATTAATAAAGCATTAAGAATCTAAGATGATTAACTAAAAACGATAAAATTTAATTAACCCATCAACTTTTGGAGCTTTATTATCAAAAGCTGAAGATTAAGATGGAGAAAAAGGCTACACATCAAAAGCTTGCAAGAATGACAGAATCTAGTGGGACTCTTTTCAGGTCATGCGACAATGCTTTTGGTCCCCCAATCATCTTGAAAATTGAAATTAAATTGCTGCCCAACCCAACACCCTCTTTTCCCAAAAGCAAATATTGGAATTTTTCTGGGAACAAGGTTCGAGTTCTTCGGAGAAATTCTTATGTCATCTCAAGCCAAGGGTTACAGGTCATTTTAGCCTCAATTTGTATAAATCTATCTCCAGTTTGATTCTCGTCAGATATGAAGTTGAATCATATTATTATGGGAAGTCTATTATAAGGCTTAACCCACTCTTCTACTTTCTTAATGTATATAATATCGTTTGTTAAAAAAAAAAAAAAAAAAAGATCAAGGCTAACTTTTGCTAAGGACAAACTACAGATAGAAAGCCCTCAAGTCCTTCAACAAGCCCTAACATGTGTATTCCATAAACTATAGTCTTGTATAATTGGAGATGAAAAATTTTAGCCCTACAATATTATTTAAAATCTTAATTTTTTTGGAGGGTAAAACATAAGGAAAACTAATGAAAAGGGCTTGAAAATTTTGAATTTTAATAATAAGGACAAAATAAATGGTAAAGTGAATAGTACTAAGTTTGACTTTTTAGTGTAAAAATGTGATTTTCGTTAAAGTAAACAGTACCGTGAACTTTTCATTAAAACTCCCTAAAACATTACCATGGGCTACGTTTACCCTTTTGTTATGGGAGGCAGTCTTATGTATATTAGAAACATAAGTCACGATGTATTATTTTATGTGGAGTGAATGAAGGAATTGATATGTCTCATTTATATTAATAAATAGATTTTACGTTTTATTATTTGAATGATATAATAATGTTACATAATTGAATTCTGAGTACTGAAAAATTGTCGTGAGATTTGTCTCACAAGTTACAGCTCAAAGAACTGTAAGCTGTCAGAAGTGTCCATCTTAATCATTTGTATTTTCGCGAGTGTTGAAGGAGAAACTTCCAGGTTACACAGAGATAAGGATTCAAATGCTACAACAATTCCATTTACTAAAGAGCTGTGGATATAACACATCATATTGAAACTCTTAACTTTCACGTACACCTTTTCATCCATTTATGGAAGATGGCTGGAGTTTTGATTTCTAATTTTAGACAATTTTGAACTTCATGAGTCAATTGGTGATTTTCTATACTATCGTGGTGGCCGTGTCATAGTTTTACGCGTATTATTGGTTGTGCAAATTTATTTTCAGATCAAGAAATTGATCACTAAAGAGGATGTATGCATTCAGCACCTCATTGTATCAGTGAAATCTCTACATGCATTGCATATTGTCAAAATATATTTAACTTAATAGCGTCACTCTCTCGTCTCATGGTAAAAAATTGTTTGAAATTTAACGCATCATGTGTACTTATTGCTTTACCACACTCAAAACATTTCACCTCTAAATTAAAAAAAATATCGATATGCGTTAATATTTATATTCGAAAGTTGTCACAAATGTGCGTATCAGGTTTTTCTTTTCTTTTTGTTCCCTTGATCTTGTCTTTCCACAAAGCAACCGATCATTTCGAAAAGCCTGCTCTCTTTACCTTTGCCAAAATTATATTCCATGCGAACCCCACACGTGCTTGTATGGTGATTTGATGCATTTGCTTTGCTTCTGATAACCTTGCTTTTTCGTGGTTTTATTCCAAATTTGAAACGCACTAAATAATAAATTTGCTTACTTAAATTTGCTTTCATACAGCTACTTAGTATTACGGTTTAGTGGTATTCATCATTACTTGTAAGTGAGAGGTCTTAGGTTCGATTATCGCCAAAGGAGAAGTTAAATCTCATTATTGCTAGTCTATTGTGAGACTAAGCACACCCTCTTCCATTTAGTGTAAATAATATCGTTTGTTAAAAAAAAAAAAAAAATTAATTTCATACAAGGTAAGCATATTATTTAATATTTAATTAGGTCGGCAATTTGAAGGACTCAGTCCAATATTTGAATTCAAGGAAGATGGTCGTTTTATTAGCACATTATATATTGTTAAACAAACTCCATATTTTCTTTCTCAATTTTAATACACTCTGCATATTTTCCCTTACTATCCTCACATTCCACACATATTATATAAAATTAAGTGCTTCATTAGTGTCTAAAATATGCCTAGTCTAATGCATATTGTAAATTGTAAGATCTATAGTCTGCGTTAAATGTTGTTAAGTCATGGAAATACTAGAATATGCATAACGACTCTGCAACCGTTGTTGCAGAAAGAATGAAACAAATATCAAGTCTTATTTTATGTGAAGTCTCCATAACGTTGATTTTATGTTTCATTTGTCGTAAATAACTATTTCCAATCAAACGTGTTTGTGCTTTTAGTGATTTGAATGTTGTTCTACAGTAGAGAGGGAGTGGCTATGAGAGCTTGGAAAAGAAGTATATTAGAATACATGTTGAAAATAATTTGGAGCGTATACAGAAAATAAGTTTCTTTCTTAAAATCTTATAAAGCCTAAATAGTCATCTCATATTAGGATATGTAAGTTAATTAATAATAAATTTTTGTAGGATGTGTATTCAACAATATGTGACTTGCATCTTTTCTTCTTTTAGATAGGCAACGGAAGCAAGCATTAGTGGGAATGATCAATGATTTGAGTTTAGTTCTTTAGTTCGAGTGAGGGTAACATTCTGGTCTTAAGCAAAGTCGTCCTGTCTTTCCTATTCAGTCAGTTGCATATTTGTAAGCATGATTGTAGAAATACAAATGGACGAATGAGTTTTTCAACAAATTAATATATGGGCATGCCTGGTGAATCCACTAGATTCATCCTCAGAACACCCTTCGTCTCTATTAGCACGTCACATATTGTTAAATACACCCCTAAAAAGGTTTATTATTAAATAAAGAAGCCCAACCAAAGTCACTTCCGACATCCACCCCCACATCTCCAAAACCAAAGACACCCAATGTTCTTCACCCCTTCCCCAACGATCCAGACACGCCACTTGCACCTCCCCTACCACCCACGATCGAAGACCCAAATCTCATCTCATCATTATATAGAAGCAATGCTTCAATACCGCAAGGATAAATCAATTAAGAGACATCATCCAATTAAGTCATTTGTTTAACATGAACCACTAAAAACTAGGTTAACGAGTTTGTGCGTAGAACCTTAGTTATTCATTAATAATTTTCACAAAAATTCAACTATTTTGTGAATTAAACCAATTTGAGTTCAAACTCATTGAGTTAAATCATTCAATAGGAATGAAATAAAAGTTTCAGAGCTTGGATTTTTGGGGGGGTGGTTTGTTTTCTTGGAGGACATCGATGGGGTAATTACATATTTCTCTTTTTACTAATAGGTTTTTGTGATGGCCTTTTCTTTCTAAACCCATTTTCTTTATGGGGGCAATATTCATAATAAGTTTGGAAAAAGTAAAATACAAGAGGAGTGCATAAATTATTTTCTAAAAATAATTAGATATTTTTGTTTAATGAAAATCATTTGCTTGATATAATAATTAAAAGGGTTAAAAACCCTTTTGGTCACTATCAAAAAATATAATTTTGTCACTGTGTTTCTATTAACAGAATAGTAAAATATTTAATCTATACTAACTATTAATAGAACACTCTTTGTCAACCAAAAAATGGTGAAAATACCATTCTATCCCTAAAAACAAAACTAAAGAAAAATAACCAAAATAAAAGTTATGGGCAATATAGAAAATCAAACACAAAACAATTTTGCTATTCATTTTCTCTCCCTCGTAGTCACCCCATTTTTCCTCTCATCTCTTGGGCGCGTGTGGTTTTAGCCTTGATTAACTGTGTTGATTTGTTTTGTACGTTTTTGTTAGGATTGAAGACGACAGAAATTTACTACCACAACCTCCGATATCCACCCCTACCTCTCCAAACCAAAGACACCCAATGTTCATCACTCCTTCCCCAACCACCCACCCACCCAGCTACCTGCACCTCTCCTACCACCCCCAATCAAAGACCCAATTAAATCGCTTCCCACCATAAGGATACATCAATTAAGAGACATCATCCAATTAAGCCAATTTGTTTAATTTGAACCATTAAAAACTAGGTTAACGAGTCTGTGTCTAGAACCTTAGTTCTTCATTATTCATTTTCATAAAAATTCAACTATTTTGTGTATTAAACCAATTTGAGTTCAAACTCAATAGGTTTAAATCATTCAATAAGAATGACAAAAGGTTTCGAGGTTGGAGGGAGGGGGTGTTTTCTTAGAGGGGCATAGATGTGATAATTTGATACATCTCTTTTCACTAATAGGTTGCTTTTCCTCATGTCCTTACATGGACAATTGATCTTCTTTACATAGACAATTCATCTTCTTCCTTATGTCTCACCGTTCTACAACTATAGGATTGGCCCGTGACCACTTTGGTCCCTAATGGCTCCACCCCTGCCATCATGCACACATCACACCAAATTAATAAAAACATAACGGAAAATTTGCACCAAAAAAGTGCATAATTTCATTTTTATCGTGTCAATAACAACATTGAGAATAAAAGCATTAGTCTCTAAACTAAAAACTTTTATCAGTTTCTAAACTTGCCACATTGTTAAACAACAATTTTTATTTAATATTCAAAGAGAAATGTTAAGGGGGCTCTAAAGTGTGACTTTCTATGGATTTTCTCCCATCTCACATTTTAACTTTAATTCCCGTATAAATATTATAAAACGTTGTGGTAAAAATATGAGATGACAATTAAAAGAGTCTCATTAACATTTCTCATAATCAAAACTCTAATTAGTCCAAAGTTTATGAACCAAGCTCAATTTTTTTTTCTGACAATGTAGTAATAAATAAATTTTTTATATATTTAGAAATTAAATTACAGAAAGGGACAGTACCTTTTACATGGTTTGGTCGATTTCTTGGGACATGGGTTTCTTTAACACACTCAACCCACCCATGCACACATAGAATATCATTGCCCTCCCTCTCTCTCTTGAAAGAAACCCCATTTCGTCACCATTTTCAGTCACAGAGGGACACAGGGACACGGAAAGACCCCATCTTCTTTGGACTCTTCCTTTCTTAGGGTTTCGCATTTTTTGAATCTTTAAGTTCTTGATCCCTCATCTTTCGCCCTGAAAAGAAAGTAGAATTTGTATTTTTCCATCTGAAAAACTGCAAAGTCCTCGGTTTTCTGTGTCAATTCCCCGTTGCGCGTGTGATCACAGAAGCATCAAAATGTTTCCACCTTTTTAACTTTTTATTCCCCTTTGCGTAGCTCTGTGGTTTTGTGTTGAACATCGTTTCTGGGTGGCGGATTTTTTTCTCTTCTGAGGAGAATTTTCCCGGAAAGTTCTTTTCTTTCAGGGTGGAAAACAAAACCCACCAGAAATTATCATCTGGGGAAGCTTAATCCTCTGTTGTCACTGCTCCCAGGGATCCATTTTCTCAGTTCATTTGCTTTTAGGGTTTTATTCATCGTGCCTAAATTCTGGTTCTGAATCATGAGCTCTGCTCAGAGTCACCACATCAAGCTCCACAATGTCGAATCCCAAGACTACCCATTTCGCCATTCGCACCATGAATTGCGTTTTGGAAGCTGATCGCGCTTGGTTTCTTTCAGGCATTTTCTCAAACACGGGCTGCAATTGGCCTGGAATTGAATTTCTTGGCTCTGTTCATCTCGATTCTTTTCCTTATAGAAGCCATGGGTTGTGTCCATGGCAAGTGTTGTGGTCGGTACCCCCAGTCCTCCGATGGTGATCTACGGGACTTCAGAGATGCTGGTCCGTACAGCGCTCAGAGGAAGAACATACTCTCAGAGAGGTCATTGGAATTCGTCCCTGTTCCTTCACACGATTATCGTTTAGAGTACTCTTTGTTAACGCAGCGCGGCTACTATCCCGACTCGCCGGATAAGGAAAACCAGGACAGTTTCTGTGTTAGAACGCAAGTCCAAGGTAACCCAAATATCCATTTCTTTGGTGTGTTTGATGGGCATGGCCAATTGGGTACCCAGTGTTCTAATTTTGTTAAGGACAGGTTAGTAGAGATACTAGCGAATGATCCCACATTGTCAGCTGACCCTGTGAAAGCTTACAATTCTGCTTTTCTAACGACGAATTATGAGTTGCATAATAGTGAGATTGATGATACTATGAGTGGTACTACGGCGATAACTGTGCTTGTTATTGGGGATACCCTTTATGTCGCAAATGTGGGTGATTCGAGAGCAGTAATTGCAGTGCAAGATGGTAATAGAATTATTGCAGAGGACTTGTCTTCTGACCAAACACCGTTTAGGAAAGACGAATGTGAGAGAGTGAAGCTGTGTGGGGCCAGAGTTCTGAGTGTTGATCAAGTGGAAGGGCTGAAGGATCCAGATATCCAGTCGTGGGGTGATGAAGAGAGTGAAGGTGGTGATCCTCCAAGGTTGTGGGTTCCAGCAGGGATGTATCCTGGAACTGCGTTTACAAGGAGTGTAGGTGATAGTACAGCTGAGACGATTGGTGTGGTTGCTACTCCAGAGGTGTCAATAGTTAAGCTGACACCTAATCATCTCTTCTTTGTTGTTGCAAGTGATGGAGTTTTCGAGTTTCTCTCAAGCCAAGCTGTGGTTAATATGGTATGTCACTTTGACCATTTATAAACTGCAATAAAGCTATACTTCCATTATTTGTTATCCTTTTAATTGATGTTCAACTGGTTTTGTCATTGATGCATTGTATTTGATTGTCTCATTATGCTAATACATTGATCTTTTGCCGCTTTTGTTATCTCACTGATAGTTCATCATCTTGTGTGTTGTACAATGACCAAGGAGAACGATTGTTTGTATGCTCTTGTGTTCATATGGTCTATGATAAATTGGGATTTGTTAGCTCTTAAATCCCGACATATAAAAGCAAAAAGTGCGGAAGAAACTTCTATTGCCATCAGAAAATAAGTTGTTATTTGGAGTTCCAGATACGTTGATAAGTTGATTTCAAATATCGTTGTGGAAGAATGTTGATAAAACTTTCTCGTCATTGGTATATCCATTATGGTTGTTGAGTCTGATCTCAATATAAACTAATGGTAGTGCTATTGGTTGCTTATTTAGAATCATTAATGTCACGTTGTCGTATCTGTACCAAAGAATATTCCAAAACTAGAAGTTAGCTTGCGAATTTTCCTCTTTAGCATCTATGAACTGCTAGTCTTTTGATCCTTTACAGTTTGCAAGCAGTTAGCGTTTGAGGTACTGCCCTTTTGTATCCATATATCATCTTCTGCCTGTGTAATTGACCAATACATATATGTGGATTTCATCCCGTATCGCTACAGAGTTTTCCGTAAATATGTAATTATTTAGCATCAATGCCACTCCAAAAAGAATAAAAATGTCAAACAGTTTTCTCTTTTTAATTTTTAACATTTCTATTACTATCCTTCCTGCTCACAAATATTCGGACACCATTCTTTATACAGGCGGCAAGATATCCAGATCCTCGAGATGCATGTGCTGCCATTGCTGGAGAATCATACAAATTATGGTTGGAACATGAAAACCGGACAGATGATATAACAATAATCATTGTTCACATCAAAGGCTTGTCCAATGTACGAATTGTGTAAACCTTCTCTTAATTTTGTTACATTTTCTTTAGGCTGATTCCCCTGCTCTGTATGAACTCTCATCAGTAATTGTAGTGGTATGCTGTAAGATTCTTGGGTGTGGGATATGTTGTCCCTAGGGCTTCCATAATTAGGTTGTACCTTGTTTCTGTTTGGTTTCTATAGAAAAGTTGCACGTTTTAAGCGGTTAATTTTTTATCATATGATTTAGCAGGGTGACACCCGACACTGGATAACATATGCCCATGCCCAGAAGAGGATTTAAATTTACAACTAGCTTGATGATATTATCTATAATATGAAGGAATAGAGGAATATGAGCAATCATGTTACACTCCTATCATATTGCTGCTATTTCACATGACACATGCATAATCTGATATTAGCTATAGAGGGCATTGTTTTCCGATGTACACTTTCAACTGATTGGCTCGTTTACCAACTTTATATTGTGCGTGCTACAGTCTGCTGGTGGTGCTGCAGATGAAGCAAGTGGGGCCAATAATAGGCCAGCAACACGAGTGAGAAAAACTTCAGAGTCATCTGTTACCACTGGGTCAGAAGTTTACCGATCTGTGAGAAGTGATTCCTCAGAAGTACAGTCTTGTCAGCTGGTGCTTTCGATGAGTCGAAGCCCAGCTATTGTTGTTCCATCTCCTTCATGTCAGAGATCTTTGAGTTGGTACGTCTGTTAAGCTCTCGTATATCATTTTGTGACTATTATTCTATCAACTATCCTTTTATGTTGCCTCCATTGACTGCAGTGGTTGAACTGAAGGGAATTGACGGAGCTGCCACACGCCCCCTTGTTATTTTTGTCAAGTGGTACTTCTTTACACGATGTTCCCTTGGGTCCTTTTATATCTGATACAATCCCAATTAAGTTGATTGTAACAAGCTTATTTTTGGAGAGTAAACCAATGCCTTTGTTCAAATACGTGACTCAACTTTTTCTGTTTGCAGGATGTGGGTTGGTGGTGCATTCAGCCGTTAGCAGAAGTATTGGTTCTGCAAATAGAAGAAGTTCCCCTGAACGCTAATCTCTGATCTCTAGGTTCCGTTGCTAATCTCACTAATGACACAGTTTCTGACCTATATGATATGCCTGGAGAACATTTCTCCTTCTGCTAATCCAAGAATGTAGAGAGGGAGGAAATGAGATTTGATATAGGAGGCACATACAGGAGATTCCTTTACACAAAATTCAGGGCGAACATTTCACGCACTCTTGTAAAATCTTTAGCTTCCGTTGTAATTCGTCATATCCTAAAACTGATGATTAGTAGATGTGACATATTGTGTGTTCCTCTCTCGTTCTCTCGCTCTCTCGTTCTCTCGCTCTCTCGCTCTCTCGTTCTCTCGCTCTCTCGCTCTCTCGCTCTGTGTGTATTATGATTTCCTATTGAGAATATGAATTCGATTCTTAACTGATTCAGGCATGACATACTTGTGAGCAATATATTGCGTTTTCTATAACGTTGATTCTCTCCCTACCTATTCCCTCCCCTCACAATTCCTTTTTTTGTCTTTGTAAAAAATCAATATAAAGTGTTAGATGTGATTTAATTGTAACCGTTTAAAATAGGAGGGAGGGAAGAGAATCCTACTCTTCCTATTATAGCGTTTCAGATTCGAATCTTGTTTAATTTTGTTAAAGATGAGAAGACGTGTGATGTTATTTGGATGATGATTTTTTGAGCAATAATGTTGGGTATTGGATTCAATAATGTGATGACGGTATGAGATTGTTTTGAATGTGGGGCTTTTTTCATGTTGTTTATTTCCCCATCAAGTGACCGAACCTTCAGTGCAAGAGTGGCCTACATGCCCTTTCGTGGTGGACTTTAAGTCTTACCCTAGCGAGTAGCCATACCTACTGGTATCACGACAGGTGATGTAAGGTAAATGACAAAAAACTAATAACGATATTTTTATACCTCATCTTTTAAAATTGACAATATCATACCTTATCTTACGAATTTGTGCTAATGTCAGACCTCCGTCAGTTTTTTATGTTAATTTCTTTGTTAAATGCTGACGTGACCAGAGACGAGACCCACTCACTAATCCAACTGGATTAAAAAATAATAAAATAATTTTTAATAATTAAATATTCAAAAATTAAAAATTAAAAAACTAAAAAAAATTAAAAAATGGCCAGGATCCGGCCTTCCCTTTCCTCCACCTGCAGCAACCCTTTTTCTTCTTGTCTTTGATAGCCACCAAACCCTTCCCCATCCCCTCAACCTTCCTCCACCACCGTCTCTCTCTCTCTTCTCTCTCTCCTCTCTCTGGGATGCAGTCTCCCTCCTCCGTCACTTTCCCCACTCGCACTCATCCTTCCCTCACCACCACTTCCCAACCCGACCTATCCCTCCCCTAGTCCCTCCATACCCAATCTTCCTTCACCACCTGCACTCGATGCTTAGCTCGCTGCTGGGAAGCTCGATCCAGAGGAATCGAATCTCGTTGAAATTCTTCAAGACTTGGGTCAGGGAGTGGTGGGTGACGCCGGATTGGTCGAGGCTGTTGTTATCGGCTGCAGAGGAATATGGGTCATCGACAGAGAGAGCGGAGTGGGACCCATTTAGGGATCGCCAGTTAGGTCCCAGGAACTGGCCGAGCGCTTGCAAAGGCAGACCACAAGTCCATCCCTTTCTTCTCCGATGAAACCACCAACCCAGTCCTTCTTGTCTCTGGCTACCCCACCTCAACCTTTCTCTGCTTCGGCGAACGTTATTCCCATCTCCAACGAAACCCAACGTCTCTCGTATGGACCTCGGCATTCCATCTTCCAATATATCGATCTCCTCATCATCTCACCCCCTCCATCTGAAAAATCTGAAGCTGTCGCCGGCTATCCCGAGATGCGAGGCCATCCCCTGTGACAAACTCGAAGTCGCCTTCTAGGCCGTCAAGATTTAGATCGCCGATCGAGTAGTTTTGCCGGTTGAAAACTCCCTCGATGGGGACACAGAGGTCTGCAATTTGACGAACCTCAAGGAATGGTTGGGGCTGCACCGCGCCGTTTTGGAGGGAGGGAAGGTGAAAAAATTAGGGAGATCTTGTTGAAGATGAGGATGAGGAGGAGTCAGGGTGGGATCTGGGTTTGGGTTGGGGGAAGACGGGAGAAGATAAAGACGAGAGAGAACGGTTGGTGCGGGTGGGGGAAAGGGAAGGCCGGATCCCTTAGGCCATTTTTTTTTTTTTAGTTTTTTAATTTTTAATTTTTAATTTTTGAATATTTAATTATTAAAAATATATTTTATTATTTTTTAATCCAGTTGGTTTAGTGAGTGGGTTTCGTCTCTGGCCACGTCAGCATTTAATAGAGAAATTAACAGAAAATTTGACGGAGGTCTGCCATTGACACAAATTCGTAGGATGAGGTATGACATTGTCAATTTTAAAATATGAGGTATGAAAGTGTCATGACATCAATAGTTGAAGTAATTTTGTGTAATTTACCCAAATTATAATATGCTCTGGTGTATCTTATTGATCGGATTTTTTTGGATAGATATTGGTTATTGAATTTTTTATCAGGGCACTAACGGCTAGAAGCAATAGTACATAAGATACATCAGGGCATACTAAAAAATCACAACTCCTTTGTTTATAAGTGTTGTGAAAACATTGCCAGCCAATTACTGGAAAACAAGTGCTCCATCATGGTGCCGTTCAACGCAGAGCACCTTCTTTTTTGGGGACCCGCGGCCAAAGAAAGAAAAAGATTGAAGTTTAGGTGCAAGCACGCGTTTGTCGTCTTTGTAGAATCGATGAATGTAAACCGAGAAGAAAGCAAAAAAGATGCTAGCGTGAGTCGTGCATCAAATCGTGGTGCAATCTTTTTATGAGAGCGGAGAAAAAGATTGAAGTTTAGGTGCAAGCACACGTTTGTAGTCTTTGTAGAATCGATGAATGTAAACCGAGAAGAAAGCAAAAAAGATGCTAGCGTTAGTCGTGCATCAAATCGTGGTGCAATCTTTTTAAAGAGCGGATTGGCTATGTTGTACAAAACCATCAACGGCTAAGACCGTGTCACGCGTGGTGGATGTGGTCTACAGTCATCCGTGGTTGAAAGATGGAAATCTAACGGTTATATTTCAAGTAAATTAACTCAAGTCGTTTGAAAATTCGTACAAAAACCGTTAGAAAATTAGAAATAAAAGGACAGCTTCTCGTCTATCACATTCTGTAACATGTTACACTGTACTAGCAATATGCTTAATTTTTCAGCTCCCTTGGTCGCTTCTCCAGTCACCACCATTTCTCTGCCAGCATTCTCCAACCTCCCATTTTCGTGGGATACGTTTTCTATTTCCGCTTCACCATCGTGCGCTAAACTTCGTTCATCCTCCATCCAGTCATTTGCATTCGGGGTCTCGTGGATTTCACCATCAGGAGATGTTTCACGAAGTGCTAGACCCGATTCTAGCAAGGGCCGCCCTCTATGGGATGAAAGAGGGCCGCACCCAACTTCGATGACTTCATCCAGAGTCGGCTGATTAAGGTAAGAGAGCGAAGGTCCGGTATCTTCAAGCCCCAACTTACCCAGGTTCCCAGAAACTGTGTTAAGACGAGGACTTTCGAAGACATAAGCTGAAGAGAACGCCCCATTGGCTAAACCCATTAACCGCCAGTTGAAAATTCGTCGGAAGATGATAACCCAATTCGGAACTATATAGCAGCACGAGTCATGGCGCTCAAGTCGGCAGCTTCTTTGTAGCATAACATGTGCCTCTTTTATAGCAAGTGCAGGTCCCATCATCTTACTTGAATGCGTCAGGTATTCAATCAAGCCATTTTCAAGTTCATCTCTCAGGTTTTCAATCTCATTTCCTGCATTACATCTGGCTAGCCACGAAATAGTGTCGGGAAACGTTGGAAGTCTACAATCCCCTAGAGCCGACATTAGTGATTCAACTTTTTCCGACGAGCTCCATCCTACAATTGGCAGGCACCAATTTACAAACCTGTACTCATCACTGAACTCCTCTAGCAAAGCAATCTCGGGGCAAGGCCAACTGGATGGATTTGATTCCACAGCAGCAGCAATTTTCTTCTGTGACCAATCCAAGGCTTCGTTGAAGGCAAGGATACAGTTGTCTGGACCTACTTCATAATCTTTCATTTTGTCTAGTGGCTCCAATGAAGAATTCAAGTAGGTAAGAATGAGTTCGCGTGTTTTCACATGATGAAGAATGGGTTGAAGGGGCGATTCACTTGCAAGCCATCGTAGCCCTTCCCTAAGTCGGTTGTCACTGAAAAACCCATCCCATTGGTTTTCAACAAGCGGAACAACATGAAAGCTGCTTATTCGTGACTTATCCAAGTCATGGAGACCCAAATTATCGACAATAGTGGAGTCATCAACATTGTTCTTGTATGAGCCACTTAAGATCAGAAGGGGCAAACAGGAACCGTAAGGTATCGACATCAGAAGATTACGAAGACGGTCTTTTTGCAATTTCCAAGGGATGCTTTCAGATGTAAGAAACAAAATAGCACTTGCACCGGATACACTTTCACTTGGATTATCAGAACTTGCATCCTTGACCACAGACAAACAGCAGTTCAGATCTGAACCAGATTGGTCACGAACCCATTTCTTCCATATTGAGACACCAGGGGATGAAATTACAAGATCCTCATCATCATCGTCCACATCATTTGCCGAAGGCATGAGCTTTGAAAGCAACCAGGGGGCTGCTCCTGAGACATGGCTCCTCTGCCCCAGTTCATCACCTTCTAGATTGTTCATCTGAGAACATACAACAGTTTTCCAGCATAGGCATCTAGCATCCGGGTTTCTTCTGCCTAGTATATCTGCTATTACATCTGAAACATTAAGTCTTGACCATGACTGACCATGCTTTTTATATCTCTCCCTCAAAACGAGATCAATGTCAAACTCGCCAGAAGTGCTTGGTTGCTACAAAATGAAACAAAACGATTTAGGCTGAGATAACTAATCACTTAGATTTCTTCCCAGCAAATAAACCATGTTCCAACAGATGTAAAAACAATTCTCCTATAGGAACCAATGCTTCAAAAAGTCAGAAAAGAACATTATGGGACAAGAAATCCAATAAGACAGCAGTACACAAAGAAACAATCTCTAAAACCATTAGTTATCCTTCCATTGACGAAACTATTGAAACATACTTGAACCCACAACAATCACCCAACTACAGCTTCACAAGCGGCATGAACAAGAAAAGAAAGGAAATCTCTAAAATCTGAATTACCTAAGCTCACAAAGAAGGAAATTTACTGTCTTCTTAAACTATCATCTTCTAAGCACAAACAAAAACAAAATGGCACAATAAAGCACACGGGCATATTAGCTTCAAAAAATTGAAAAAGCTTACATCTCTCTTGAGTTGAATTGGTGGCCCCAATGATAAAGAATTCAATGCAGCATTTGCTGCTAACTGCTTTTTCTCTCGCAGTGCTCTTAGCTTCAGAGAACGTCGCTTCCATAATCTGATGAGGAAAAAAGTGGGAACATGAAGGTACTGGATAACAATAGCTTCAACATACAGCCAAATAAGTACAACACGCGAAATACCTTAGCATCAATTTGAGTTTTGCCTCCTCAATTTCTTCCTGTTGAGAATTCGCCATAACATCATTGTTTTCATCTACCTGACGGAGGTCTGGAATTTCCTTGTCTTCCAACTTATCGGTGACCATATTTTGGAAAACTGGATATTCCATACTGGAACTATATGTACCAACAGATGATCTCTCTTGTACAGCTTTTTTTGACTCAATTTGCAATGGCATTTGTTCCATTCCAGAATGCATGCGTCCCTCTGGAGAGTTACTAAAAAGAGCATCATAGTTTGGCTTCTCCATGGTATCAACTTTATCAGGCTGGGGTGTAAATGATGAGAAAGCCCACAAGGAAGGAGACACAGCAGATGCCCTACGGGGACCTTCACTGTATTGACGAAAAATTGGTGTTTGAATCGTTTGCTGCTTTTGTCTGACATCTTCTGGAGATGAAAAAATTGGTGCTTGAATCATTTGCTTCTTTTGTCTGATATCTTTTGGGGATGAAACATCTTCAAAATTAGGCCTTTTTTCATCAACTTCACTAACAGATTTTGTTACTTCAATGGCTGGGACATGACGAGCAGGACTTTCCTTTTCAACATATGAAATATTTTTTGGTTCAGGCTTCTTTGTCTTAGTCATCAGAATTTCTTTTGTTGCTTCAGAAGACAAGGATATGACTTGACTAGAACCCGAAACATCCTCGACTATCCTTCTTGACTTTTTCATATCGACCAGTTTAGAACACTTGGTAGGATAATCCTCATCAACATTGAGAAATGGGCCTTCCTTCACAATATATGGCTCTTGGAATGACTTTATTGCAAACCCGTGATACTCTGAAAGGCTTTCAATTTCATCTTCCTAATTTCAACCATCAAAGAAGAAGCATAAGATAAGTAAAAATGGTTCATCCTTCCCCTGTACCAAAGCATACATACCTCCATTGCCAGCCACTTGGCAGCATCCGCAATAGGGAGGCCTTGGTTATTCTGGAGACCTGCATGTATAGAAGCAAGTGCCTGGGTTCGTAACTGGTCAAAACAGCAAAGAATGTTAGTTATATGTACCAGCATACAAATCTAACATCAGCAGGAACAAGTAAAATACATGAGCTGAAGATTAGCGGTTTATTATGGCGTTACAGGAGACCCTATGGCCGAATCTTACTGCCTTGGGTCTTTATGTATGACTATCATTAGAGCCTAGGCCCTAGACACTGCAAAGCAGTGCTGTGAAGGAGGAAGAGAGAAGAAAACACAGTAACCATGCTTTAATCAAGTTCAACCTAAACTTCTAAGTCTTCTATTCACAAAAGATTTTCATCTGAGTACAATGAGATTGATTCGCAACTTCTTCCCTTCTTTACATAAGAAAAGCTACCAAGCAAAAATCTTAAACACTTACCCTCGAAGAAACCACTTAGAAAACCCAAGGTAAACCGTATTCTAAAAATAATCTATATTTAGCAAAAAAGTAAAACTCTACAATAGCATAAGAATAATGGAGACTTCAAATTCTTTTAAGCCTACACTCTTGATGACACTTTGTTCAAAATAATGTTCACAACATTTCCCTTGAATGTCACAGATAGAGCAGCTGGAAGGGAAAAAACAAAATCTTTAATATGTTTCCATCTATCTAGCTCAGCAAGTTTCTAAAATCACAGCGCATACTGCATTTTACAGTACTTGCTACCTTAGCACTGAATGCTTTGCTGGTAGATAGAGCAGTCTTGTTTATTTTTTGTGGGGTCAAAGATCCCCATTTTGAAGCAATACCACAAACTAAGAAATTTAATCATACCTTTGAGAAGTGAGCATGCATTAGGCAAGCTTGGAGGTAACTTGCTTTCCTAGCAAGTCGAAAGAAAGCTATAAAATTACCAGTTCTGCAAGCTCTGCAAGAGGAAATCAATTTATATTGAAATTCAGTTTACACCAAAATCAGAAAATACATTTGAAGGAAGTGATTACCTAGCTACATCACGCGCAAATAGCACCTCTGAAGTTTGTCTTATTTCTGGAGTCATCTTTGCAAGATCAAGTGAGAGCTCTGCAGGTTCAACCTAGCAGGAATCCCGAAAACTTTAGACAACAACAAAATGAACCGAGTACAACAGTGTGACTACTGCAGGAGACCTTACCATGTACCCAGGATGCTTGTCCAGCTTGAGAAGGGCATAGTAACCTCGAAACTCTTTTTCTGTAGGAATGTTTATTCCTTTCTTTCTGTGATCATCATACAATTGGAACAATTCAACAGATGTTTTATTCATCTGTTCGATATTGAGGTGTGCATCAAATCCCTCAGAAAAGCCCTCTCCTCTTGAGTATTCACATAATTCATGCATGACAATTATGTGAAGTCTTATCTGAAACTCAATGCATAACAATCAGTGCTTTGTACTTATCACCAACCAAATGCATATCCTTGAAGAAGAAGAAAAAATGCTGAGATAGTATGTTTGTGAAATACGTAGAAAGGTAAAGAGGAGTTTCCGAGTTACTTATCAAAACAAAGAAAAAAAAACATGAGTACATAAGAATAATTTAACCAGCATTTTTTATACAGCTTGGAACTAGACGATGAAAAGGACCTCAGAAAACTATGAGGAAGAGCCCATAAGAATAAGATAATTTCGCTATCCCATCATCCTCACTCCTTTCATAATAAAAACATGTCCACACATTTTCTTCACAGTTAATGTTGATAATTACAAGTTATGTTAAAGCAATAGCATATCAGCAAACAGGAAGAAAAGTATAGAGGAGAGGACTCACCATTTGCTCCAGCATAGTAATAGCCTCTTGGTTAAAAATGTGCTGCATTCTCAAGTCCATTCGAATTGCTCGCATTCGATCCCATAGGAAGTTGTATATGCTAAGAAACCTATCATTGTAAGGCTTATCAAGCAAATTGAGCAAATAATCAATTGTCCTCTGCAGGATCGGCATTGGTCGTATCAGGTTTGCATCTCGCTCAGCTGTTCTGTTATACTGTATACAAATGACATTGAACATCCATCATGCTTCATCTTATTAATGAAGTAATTTCTTGAAGAGGGGGCGGAGGCGCGCGTGGGTGGGGGTGAGGGGATAGCACAAAGAATACCTTTTTAACAGCAAGGGACATGCTGGTTTGATTTCTATCCCCATCCAAGCGCTCATATTGGTCAAGATCCCCTTTCCTTTCTCGTTCTGCCCTTTCTGACTCTGAAATATTAAGGAAAACTTAGTCAGATTAAAGGACTGAATGTCTCATACTCTTCTAGCACAAAAGAAGAAAGCAACAGATAAATTACTAAAAATGGAGCGTTAATCTTTCATTGATATTTCCTCACTTATGGACCCTCAATATTTTGGTCGATACTATCGGCCATCTGTCCTACTTTCTTCCACATTTTATCAAGTGGTCATGCTAGAGGCATAAAGAGCCATAGATAATTGTGTATCATGGTTGAGAGGCATACCAGGACACATATCCGGGCACAACCCAATAATGATACCAGACGACTCCACGCCTTCATCCTCAGGTAACGCATTGCCATCAGTACCATCCATAGCCAGTTCGGTAGATTTATATGCAGCTAATTTGTTCCTCTCAACATTAGATAGCTCATGTCTATTTGCAGAAACCCCTGGCTCTACAATATCAGGATTGTTTTGTGGAGTTTTACTTAATTCAACCTTGAACCGGGCTAACCGCTTAGCTTTGGCTTGCATTTCTCTGCAAATGACATCAGGAAAAATACTTTAGTAAACCTCAAGCTTGAGTAAGCATGTAGAAAAAAACCAACACACCTAAAATTTTACCGTTCAGTACCATCTTGAGTGGCATAAGAGTTTCCGTGAAACACTTGATCCTCGGGAAGTAAAGGAGGTGACCTTGTTCTTTTGGCCACCGGGACGCTGGTCAAATTTCTTGCAGCAGCTTCAGAAATAGTATTGCTTGCAGATTGCAAAGACTTTTTGTGTACCTGAGAATCAGGAGTACTAAAACTGGTATTTGATCTACTATTGAACCCAATAGGAGATACAGAAGGCCTGGAAAAGGTCATATGAGATTCACTCAGAATATTCCCACCTTGTTTCTGGGGATGCAAACAGCCATATGCCATAAAAATGCCATTAAGAATAACAGATTTAAGTGGACAAATTCCATTAAACTTCTCTTTTTCCAAACCTAAAGATCCACTTTCACTTTACAGTAAACAACTGCTTGGATAAACTTTGCAATGAAACTGTCCCATTTATATAGAAGATAAGAACTCCTCTATTTCTCCCCTTATGCACTTCACATGAATCTTAATCCTTTTTGTATACCCAGACTACAGATAGTAGATCCCAATTGTCTTCACAAATCTTAAAAATTTTAAGTGTCTACTAATATATGTTAATTTAAGTCTTATAGTCATCTCGAGGAAAATGTGAATTTTCTTGGACAACTTCATTAGTCGTAAATAGTAAAAGTGGGAACCTTGTTCTTTTCGGGACTTGACCATTGTCATGTTTCAGAGGAAAATTTCTACCAGTACCATAAGGCCCATCAAAAGGTGCTACTAGAGAAGGTTCTTGAGGAGCCCGCAATTCAGCATGATCAAGTAACTCCCGACAACTATCCACTTCAGACGAGGGAAATGCATGCCTATATACAAAACAACAGCCTGTTCAAAGAGAGATCACTACGAGAAAAAAACTGTGATAGAATAAAGTTATCTTACAGACTAAAGCCATGTTTAAAAGAAACACACAAAAGGAAACCATGCATATCATCTTGGATAAAAAAATGAAGCACATACCTATGTAAGAAAAAAAATATGTTCACAGGGAAAATATTTTAATTTTCTATGTTGATCCCATAGCAATGAGCAGACATGCAAACATAAAGGGACCAGTATTTTTGGAGATAATGTAGCTGAACTATTATGTGCTCACCCAGAACACAGTTTCCCAAATACTGTACATGACAGTGTTACAATAGCATACAAAAGATGGTTTTCATCAGAACATTAACAGTTTAATTGTCACCCAATCATCTCACACTCAAACAAGCACACACAAAGAGTTGAACTTAGAACTTACTCTTCAATTCCAACAGAAGGATGCAAATCCTCATAAGAGACCAAGGGTGGTGATCGTATTCTTGGAGAAACTAAGCGACTGCATATATTTACAAGCAAATCTAAGTGGCTATAGGATTAAGTAAATTAAACCAGAACTAATAAGGCCAAAAACCGAAGCAGTCTTTCAAGGAGCATATCCTCATGGAAACTTTTCAACCTCAAACAAAAGATTAACAGTTTAAATGTCACCGAATCACTTCACACTCAAACACGCACGCACAAAAAGTTGAACTCAGAACTTACTCTTCAACTCCAACAGAAGGATGCAAATCCTCATAAGAGACCAAGGGAGGCGATCGTATTCTCGGAGAAACTAAGTGACTGCACATAGTTACATGCAAATCTTAGTGACTATAGGATTAAGCAAATTAAAGCAGAACTAACAAGGCCAAAAACCAAAGCAATCTTTCAAGGAACATATCCTCATGGAAACTATTCAACCTCAAGTCGAAAAAGTAAAGAAAACATATTAACCTCATTATGAATCAATAACCAAGCATAGATCATAGCACTAAAGTTGATAAACTGACCCAAATTAAAGGTTGCGGTCATGTGATACAGTTTTACTCACACAAAAGTAAGCACACTTCCAACAGCTAGAGTCACTAGGTTGACATAGTGCAATTAATAATGTAAATAAGTGCAAACTCATCAACAGCAATTACGGAGAACAAAATGACAAAACTAACAAGAAAGAAAGCACTTAACCTTCTAGGGACACCTTGAGTGGAATTTCTGAAATTGACATCTTTAGACAGAAAGGGAGGTGATCTGATCTCTTTAGTGTCTTGGAATCTGGACACCTTGGCAGTAACACTAGTTCCAGAATTACGAGAAACAACAAATGATGTGACGGCAGATGTCCTTTGATGAGCCTGGGTATCATAATTCTTAAAGGATGATCCCTGCCCACCATCCCAAGTAGGATGAGAATCTGTGGACCTGGATGCAAAAGAATAGCTATCAGTATGAGTTATCACATTTATGATTTAAAAGGATCAGTGACCAATCAAAATAATACACAAGGGTCACATGCAAACAAATACATACATGAAAATGCAAAGCACGGAATCAATGTTGCTACTGCTAAACATAAAGGCCTGTACATGTAATAGAAAAGTATACACAACGACCATAATATGCAGAGGACACTGATTTGATAAAGTTAAAAATATCTAAACAACCAATAGTATATCTTTCAGAAGAAACGAAGAAAGAAAACTAATATTTTGTACACTGTTATAGTCAAAACGTGCAACACATATATCCAGCTCCTTAGTTTAAAGCCACAATAAATTTATAGGTTGGGGTTTGTCTTTACACATTGACCACAAATATAAATTGCGGACAAGCCTCAAGCGCTCAGTTCTCCAAGACCACATGCCAAAATTACTCACCAAGGGGTAGAAGAGATGCTAAATGTAATTGGTTTTCTCAAATCATCTTAAACACAGAATACTGAATATACAATTATAGGGGTTGTTGTACCTATGGACTCCTGCAGATGGGTAAGAATGACTTGCACCAGGACGAGCTCTTTCAAAGGCCAAATGAGGTGAATGCAGCTGCCCTGGAGCTTCAGGCCCCCTATGTTGAAATAAAAATCAATAAGTTTTTAATACATAACGAAACCCAAATGCTCAATGGCTATTCAATCACAGGTGTTTATGCATAACTCAGGCACATTCATGCATCAATAATATATCACAGCACTATATTCTTCTCTAACGTGTCATAAATTAAACATGTGCCACAAGAATTTGATCGCATTGAGACAGATACACACAGAAAAAAACATAAAACACTAAGTGAAACACATAATAATGAATTTAGAAATTTAATTTACAAGGGTTGTCCTTACCCATGGACTCCTGCAGAAGGGTAAGGTTGACTCGCAGCAGGAAGAACTCTTCCAAAGCCTAAAGGAGGAGAATACAGCTGCCCTGGAGCTTCAGGCCCCCTATGTTCAAATAAACCAATAAGTTTTTACCAAAGCCAAATGCTTGATGACCATTCAATCACAAGTTTTTACGCGGGACTCAGCACACTCATACATCAATGATATATCACAGCACCATATTTTTCTATGACATATACATTAAACATACACCAAATAATTTTGTGATCGCATTGGGACTGATAACAAAGACAGAAATCATATAACACCAATTGAAACACTTTTAAGGAATTTAAAAGTTTACAGTTCTTGGTGTTGTCATTACCTACGGACTCCTTCAGACGGGTAAGGATGACTCGCAGCAGAACGAGCTCTTTCAAAGGCCAAAGGACCTAGAGCTTCAGGCCCCCTATGTTCAAATAAAACCAATAAGTTTTTAATACATAACCGAACCCAAATGCTCAATGGCTATAATTCAATCACGGGTTTTTACAATGCTAATTAAATTAATCCAGACTTGCAATGACCCATAAACCCAAACAAGATATGCAGATTTAGAAAGCTGACAATGAGCTATTGTTATAGAATTTGATTAAAAAAAAAAAAACAAGAATTCGAATTCGATCACGAATACATTCTTCCACTCATACATAATTGAGCACAAAATTCTTCCCATTTATCCAAATTCTGTAGTATGCTTAAACACAGAAAAGGGAAATTTAATATCTGAAATTCTTTGAGAGGAGAAAACACAAAATAAAAAAATAAAAAAGAATGATACTTTGAATTAGTTTCAACTATCCAAAAGAAACCCATGTGAGGAGCAATTAAGAAAAATTGAGAGAGCGAACCTGGACGGAGAACGCAGCGGAACAGCGCTGGAAAAAGGAGGGTTGGTCGGCGGAGAAGGCGAAGGCGGCCGAGCGCTGCCGAAGTTTCCGAATAGTGGCCGCGATCCCGGCGGTCCTGTTGGTCCTGAAGCCTTGCTAAATCCCGGGTACATTGTGTGTTCAGAGTGTGCCTTCTTGCCGATGGTTTGCTCTCTTTCCTTTGTTTCAGAAAGCCAGAAAGTTTTGAGCTAAGAAAAGCTTGAAACGCGAAGTGATGATTTGGGTCTTAATGGGCCAGATCCAAGCCGGACTCAGACCCATTTGCGGCTATTGGGCCGCATCACATCATCACTCCAAATGATTGAGGAAGTGCACATTTAAGTGAGGGTTATTTTATACGGATAGAACTTGGCTCCTGAAAGAATCAGCAGCATCCCCTTGCTAATCATCAATCAAGGCTGAAAATGTGTCCAACTTGTAATTAAAAAATTCATAATTTGGACACGTGTTTAGTCGTGATTGGTGATCAGCAGTTCCTATTCATTTTATACACACCCCACAATTTTATGAAAAACCCCACATTACAAAACTTTCTAAAAAATTTCAGCTGTTTTGATAAATAAATAAATAAATAAAATTCCAGCTTTGTCCCTCATTCTTTTGGAGCAACCCCATATCGCCACTCCAAAAACCAAAAGGCACGTTTGGCAGTCCCAATTCGACAATCAAGTATTGGCTTATTTAGATGTGCTTTTAAAATGACTAGAATCGCTTTTAGATAAAATATTTTCTTTGGTTCCAGGAAGCATTTAAGTGCTTTTTTCAGAATTTACTTGCATTTTTACTAAAGATTGGTTCTAAAAACATTTTCACCAAAAGTTCTTTCAGTCATTTTAAAAGCACATTCAAACAAGCTTTATATTGATTACCTCAATAAACATTGGTCGGAAACTCCCATTTCGTTGTTTACAATCCAACACTTCGACTCACCAACCCGGATACTCCTTTACCTTTATCACCTTCGTCGTCGAAATCGTCGTCCCGCATAGGCCACCCTGTCGTGGCGTCTCTTTGTCTCTATCTCTCTGAAAAAACATAAAAAAAATAAAAAAAGCTAGACATTTCTTCTAGAGTATCAGATGCAAATGCAATAGTTACGCTTTAAATAAAAGCCGTTACATGAGATATAATGGGCAAGGGGTTCTTGGATGCCACCCCACAAGTCCAGAAAACTTAACTTGAACTAGAGCCATAAGGTCGTCTCCATTTGCTTGTTACTTATATATATCATCTTCGGTCGACTACAGTTTTAACTGTGCTTGATTAGACGTTCCTATGACTATTTGTAACACAGATTTCAGTCACAAATATATTCGGATCTAATGGTTTTGTAACAGTTTGTGTTGTTTCAACTAAAGTTGACAAGCCGATAAGGATCAAATTGCTTCAGTTTATGTGAATCATAATGTGATTTCTGTTGTCTTTAAACTTATTTAAAAATAAAACGAAGCATGTGTCGGAATTTTGTTAAATACAAGAGGATAAAAGACACATATACACCGATCATCTCAGAAAAATTACCACCTTTCAAACTTCACATATTATCCTTTTTGGTGAAAAGTAATATGGAGAGCTAGAATCATTTCTTTTTTCTCGACTTGAAAGATATTCTAATTTAATCCAAATGTGAGAAATGAGGTGTTGAGTGGAGATCACAATGCTCTAGCTATGTTTCTTCGTCCATTTTTGTAGAATTATTTTACACTCAACCAGACATAGATACTTCGCATTTGGGACATCTTCTAACGTCAGAGAAAACTTACCGGCCCACAATAGGAAGAAGGAACCAGCCCAAATACACAAGCCCGACTCAGATACTTCACCTATAAAACCACCACAACTCCACGGTTGTTTTCCCTCCCATTTCATCCAGGAAATCAAAATGCCGAGAGCAAATGCAGGAAACGCTACGAATCCAAGGAAAAGACCCAATTCCCCACCACCAATCACCGCCAACGAGCACCAACAACAAGTACAACAATGGCAACCCGATCTCCCCTGCAAATTCCACCAACTTCCAAAAACATATCAAAGAGGCTCGACTTTATCCACATTGAGGAATCTGCCCATTCGCAATGGTGGCACGAAAAAATGAGGTTTACCCCCAAGACTAGCCTGCCCATTTCTGATTGCACTCTAATAAACTCGTTCAATGGCTTACTTTGTTTGTCTGGACCTGGAATTGATCAACCCCCGATTTTCGTGTGCAATCCAATTATTGGTGAGTACATTACATTCCAGGTACTGATAAAGGTCGGCCAGGTTACAGTTCTGTTGGACTTGGATTTAGCGTCGGAAACAATGAGTATAAGGTTGTGCAAAGTTTTAAACCGGTCAAGAGCGACAACTCTGAGGCGGAGATATACACCATTGGTACAGGAGTTTGGAGAAGCATTGGAAATGCTTATGGGGGCCTTGATTGTCAGTTACCATTCAATGCTTATCTTCATGGAGCTCTCCATTGGGTTTCCCATGGTAGTGAATCTAGTGATGTTTCCAAGCTTATAAATTCTTTCGACTTTGAAAGAGAACAGTTTCGTCCCCTGCTCCCACCCAGCTACTTTGGACCAAGAGAGAAGCAATTTTCAGACTGTTTGAAGCTGGGAGTGCTCGAAGGTTGTCTCCTTTTGTGCGTGTTTGGGGACGATTCTAGCAAATTTGACATGTGGGTTATGAAGAATTATGGTGTCCAAGAGTCCTGGACTAAAACTCTTGTCATCGAAAACTTGTATGATAGAGAACTCAGCTGTGATTTGTATGAACCAATGGTGTATTTGAGCAATGGGGAAATCATAATGTCGTAGTCGTACAATGACTGGATTGTGGTTTGTTATAATCAGAAAAGAAAGAGTCTTAGGGACACTAAATTTAATTTACTAAAGAGTCGAGAATTTCGTGCTATTGGTTAAAATCCCTGCATCGTTTCACTCTACAATGTTGCAAAGGCAGAGGAGGTCAAGAGGTATTGACATTATACTGATTTATACATGCCAAAATTTTGCTACATTTCTCTGTCGCAACTATTAGTTTTGCTTCTCGTTCGTGGAAGTTAATTAAATTTGCCATTTTCTCTAAAACTGCATTGAAAATTTTGAACTATTCCGACCGTGATACTTTTGTTAATTCTGTGGTTTGTTCAATTCGTTTGGTTATTTCAGAGCTGAGTATACTTTTAACAAAAATAAAGTTGCTACAGAATTCTTGTTTTGAGCCTTTGAGTTTTGTCTGTTCGATCATGTCTTCGTCTCTTCGGTTCTATAGTAGTAGTCAAACCACTTTTTAGAGATTTTTTGTTTCTTTTCAGTTCATGTCACTGGTTAGCATGTTACGTTATTAGTCCCCTTCAGTCCTTCATATGAGCTACACGACACCTAACAACTTAAATGTATATATATGATTTATCTGTAGATTGAGCACGGTTACAAAGTTACTAAAGAAATCCTCTTGCGCTTGCTAATGCAATGATCGTTCTTCGGCGGTGTTCAAAAGAAAAAATGATCTTGTTCAAGCTTCTTTTTGGTTATCCATGAACTCATAATGTATACGGGAGGAGGCTGGGAGATTGGTCACCGATCATATCAACTAATTTTGGCATGCTTAATTACTATATGATATGCAGGGTGCAAGGAGCTAGGAAATGCGACAAACCGTCTGCCGAAGGGAGTTCTGCCTGTGCTGGTTCTGGGATGCCACCCCACAAGCCCGCAAAACTTGACTCGGGGCATGACTTGCCTACTCTATGCGGCGGTGACTTGGGCTATCTTTTCAGAGGGAAGGGATTCCCAGCATGTCAACAATGCTTCGACGCCGGTTCCACGTGAAAATTATTCAGTTATTAAACCATGCTTATGATGATCGATACATTTCAAAGTACATAGAGGTAGAGCATCTCTACTTTTTTGAGCTCCCGTAAAATTTCATAAAACGGACTTTCTAGAGAACCCCAAAAGCAATCTTGGCATGAATGTGTTGTGTTACTATGACTTTTATTTATTTGAACAGAGTTTTTGCTGGTTAAATTAAATGATCACAAAATGAAATAACGTAGTACATTGAACTACCATCTAATTTCGAGAAAAATAATGAGACTTCTAAACACTTTTGTAATAATCTAATAATCAACAATCATGTTATTTGGTTTGTAAATTTGGTTTAAAAATTTTGGTCTCTCTAGCATCACCTTTTTACTTAGTTAAACAAATACATAGAATTGTTCGTAAAACGACAAATTAAAATACGATGTACAATATTTATAAAATAATAAGAAATGCTTTGATAGATTATTAATCAATCAATAAACTTAATAATGTTATAATTATCGATTGGTAGGTGTGATTTTCAGATACGTTAGACCGGAAACAAGCTTTCTAATTCCAAAATATTCAAAATTTTCAGGCTTGGTGTTATCATAGAATTTTCAAATTTCCTTCAACTTACAAGTCCTTGAAATTATTTAATGTGTGTGCATAAAATTCATTATGTTTTCTTGGTGCTATGCTTTTGTGTGCATGCATGAAATTTGATGTGTTTTCTTTTTCAATGCTTGGGACTCGGGGGAGGCAAAAGTCACCATGGATGTGTGTTTTTATTATTTTTTATTTTTAAACAAACGATATCATTAACACTAAAGGAATGAGGTGTGCTTAGTCTCACAATAAGATAATTTTTCAAAAACGAAATCTCAAATACAACATATTTCATTACAAGTAAACTTCTTAAATAGAATCTAGTCTCAAGAAAAATACAAGATCCTCACAAGCTTTACAAGATGAACGTAACATTTTCAGGCTTAACTTTATCGAGCCTAATATATGGGCTTGACTTGTCACTTTTACGTGCAAATCTTCGACAAACCTGGTATGTGCTCGAGTTGTTTTTAGCCGATTTACTTCCATCATATTATGCCAAAACTAACTGAGAAGTCCAACAAAGTCTTATCACTCACATATGTGGCCGGGTCTACAATTCACACACAAAGCCCAATTCAGATCACTTTTCCGCAGCAAAAGTTCCGTTCGAAACTAACAGTCCTTTTCTAAGTCCTCATTTTGGAGCAATTTTTCGGTGTACCCGGTACACCAAAAAAATTTGGTGTACCCTCACTCATAATGGTGAGGGTACACCAAAAAAATTTGGTGCACCCTCACTTTTTGTACACCAAAAAAATTCTAATGAGTGAG